GTGTGGCCTTATGACACACTTCCGGTGATGTCAGGGGGTGTGGCATATGCTAATGAGTTATGCTAATGAGGTCCCCTAGCTCTTTTTCTACAAAACGACCCCTGGCTAACAAGCATGTTCAAGCATCACCTTGCTCGTGGCGGTAGGAGTGAGAACCAGGCACTCTAGGTGGCAAAGGCCGAGGGTGGCATGCCTGATGTGTTTTACCGTCGTGGCACATTTGCACGGAAGGGCTGTGCGTACAGAGGCACGGTGCCTTCGTCACCAACCAGCAACGTTAAATATTTACAAGTGCTGGAGGAAGTGAGACGTATATAAGTAAACCTAAGGATTTCTGGGATTTAGCAGCATTTTCTTTTCCTTCCTTCCCTGCAGCATTGTGAATAGGTAGACAGACAGTTCACGGTTACAACCGGGGGCTTCGTTTTTGAGGGTGTTGCAAAACGTAGGAGCCAGCTCGGCGAGACGGGGAGATGGAGACCTGAGTGCCACCAGTGAGAGCCAGTCTGGTGTAGCGGTTAGGAGAGCGGACTCTAATCTGGGAGAACCGGGTTCGATTCCCCACTCCGCCACATGCAGCTGCTGGCGGGACCTTGGGTCAGTCACAAGTTCTCTCAGAGCTGTTCTCTCAAGGGCAGTCCTCAAGAGAGCTCTCTCAGCCCCACCTACCTCACAGGGTGCCTGTGGTGGGGAGGGGAAGGGAAAGGAGATTGTAAGCCACTCTGAGACTCCTTCAGGTCATGAAGGGCGGGGGATAAATCCAATCTCTTCTTCTTCTTCTAGTGACAGGAAGGGATCTTGTCCTTGCTATTGTATTCTGGTCTCTCTTCCCTTCCCCCAGGCAGTTTCTAACTGTGTAGTCAACCTAATCTCCATCTTGGGAGCCCTTTCTCCAGGAAGTAGCTGGAATCAAGGACTAAGGAAGTCAGAAGAGACGGCGGCCAGATACTACATGCAACGGTACTCAGAATCTGCATCCTTCAGCAACCCAGACACCATGACAAACGCTTTAGATGCCAGGAGCAACTCAAGTTTCTGCACTTCCGGTTACAACCGACACGCCCCTCCACGACAAATTTGGTTGGCAACTTTCCCCTCTTCCCACAATCCCGAGGACAGGTTTTGTCTCTGCATCTGCTGGACAATTCCGAGTGAGCAAATCAACCACGAAGGGTCAGCTCTGGGCCGCTGAGGGGGTGACGAAGGGCCAAGAAGAATTTGCAGGGTGGGCCGAAGGACCTCGGGAACGGCCTAGCTCTGCCGATTCCCCAGTATGGAACTCTGGATCTTCACCCAGACGAGAGCAGCACGATATCAGGGGCGGACAATCCAATTTCACAGAGGTCAGAAGAGGAGCGGCAGGACCCGTTCACCACCCCAAACATCTCCCCAATTAGGGTGGAATGCCATAAAAACATGGGCTGGGCCTCCAGTTACCTGTCTCCAAGCCGAGAGACGTTCAAGCTGTTTTTGCAACATATCATGTCGTAGTCGATGCAAACGTCAATGGCAAAGCTGTATAGAAGTTCGTCCCCACCCACCCGGCTCCAACTCCCTTCGTCCACCCACCAGATGCCATTCGCCATGTTTTATCTGGGGGGGGGGGACAGGGGTCCCAGTGGGGGGGTGGGAAATTCCAGACCCTGTTTGCTCAGCAAGAGAATCCCAGTCTGCTTGCGATTTTGGTCACCAACTCAGAAGTCCTCCCGGAACTCAGTTCTGCCGTGACGCAGAGAGGCGGGTTTACTTTGGGGTCACTCTCGGCTCGCCGAATGGTCCGGGGGAAGTAACGGAGCCAACTCTTCGGGTGTCTCTCTCCATCAGTCCTTGTGTGTGATGCTAATTCCCCACACTGGGAGACCTTGGAGTTAATTCCCTTCACATTATTTCCGGCATGTCCCCGTCTAACCAGGAAGCTGCAAAATCTTCAGCTTCCGGACTAGCCTATAGCTGCTCCTTTTGGTGGAGATCCGGCTTGTCGATTCGGGGCAGGGCCTCTAGTCTGATACAATAACGGAATGCCTTTCGGGAGCAAGGAGAGCGTTTGCCATTCACAGCTAACTTGGACACATGCCGTTTAGGGCACTCCCCCTCTCCAAGTGGACAACAACTCCTTCCCTCCCCCCCGGCCCAAATCTGGATCCAGGTTCTATTCTTCTCCCCTCTGCCCCCAAATCAGTCCAACGAGACTTCGCAGGGGTTTTCGTGAGCCTGGCGCGCCTCCTCGTAGATCTGGCAGAAGTCTTTGTAGCGAGGGGCGCAGCTGAGCCACGCCTCCCCAAAGTGCAACCACCCCGTGAACAAGAAGCTGCCGGGTCCCGGTTTCACCCCGCACCGCAGCAGGGTACGGATACTGCCTGCTGATTTCCCGTACTTGCCGACCGGCTGGAACAGGGCAAATTTCTGGCGGTGGATCCGGGTGGCGCTCACGTAGATGATGGATTCTTGTAAATCCACGTCGTTGGAGACTGTCCGGATATTGCCGCGAATGACTGGGGGGAGAAGGGGGAGAACAGGAAATTGAGACAACTGTTTAGATATTCGAGGAGTTAGGAAGCATCTGCAACCCAAAATCAGAGTGAATGCCTTCCGTGGATGAAATGGAACAATCCTCGTTTTGCAGGTGTGTAATCCAGAGGATGTAACATTTCCAGAAAAGTGAGGCTGAGCTTGGAGTCAGGCTCTCTTTTTATTTTATTTTAAAATTTTGGTGAGTATTTTTTTGTGCCGCGTGAGGGAGTGAGCTCCTGTCTCTAGTTCCAGCTCCTGCCAACCTAGCAGTTCGAGAGCAAGAAATGGCAAGTAGATAAACAGGTACTGCTTCAGTAGGAAGGTAACAGCATTCCGTTCACCTTGGCGTCTAGTCATGCCGGCCACATGGCCACGGAAAAGCCTTCGGACAGCGCTGGCTCTTCAGCTTGGAAACTGAGATGAGCACCGACCCCTAGAGTCGGATTTGACTGGCTTTTGAGCAAGGGAAACCTTTACCTTTTACCTTATATGTATGTGTGCAGGGCTCTTTTTGTAGAAAAAGCCCAGCAGGAACTCATTAGCATAATAGGCCACACCCAACACCAGGAACTCATTAGCCTATTAGGCCACACCCCTGCCACCAGAGCTCATTAGCACATTAGGCCGCACCCCCATGTTACCAGAAGTGTGGTCATCCAGCCACACCCACCTTTTGCTTCTTATTCTGTTTACCTTGTTTGTGGTCAAAACCCAGGGCCTTTTTTTGTAGCAGGAACTCCTTTGCATGTTAGGCCACACACCCCTAATGTAGCCAATCCTAATGAGTTTCTGCTGTTGGGTGTGGCCTATTATGCTAACGAGTTCCTGCTGGGCGTGGCCAACTCGGGAGCCAGCCGGAACTCCGTTCCTGTGCGTTCCTACCCAAAAAAAGCCTTGCTCCAGCCAGCCGCAGCTGTTTGGGGTCTCCTCTTTTGCATCACCTACTGCATGATCCTGTCAACCAGAGTTGCTGGGGACTGAATCTGGGACTTCCATGCATGGGAAGCAGATGCTGTACCACTGAGCCACAGTCCTGTCTCAGGCCAAGCCGCTCAAGGAGTAGACCAACAAGCAAAACACTGCAGCGGCCAACAGAGGAGCCAGTAAAAATATCGGCCAGCATTTTATAGGATAGATCGAAATGGTCCTTTGGTGGCTGAATACAATCAAGACCTGGCCAATTATCTGCAGGGATTGCGCTATTAGCCTATTTTTGTGGGATTGGTTTCCTCTGGATCAGCAAGGCTTAGCCGCTCTCAGAGATTCCGACAGGCCCAGGGACCTGATCTGGCCTGGCAAATCCCCTTGTTCTTCTGTTTGACTTCCCGGGGTTGCCGTGGCAACCCTGGAGTGGGCAGCCGACGGACCCCCGTGACCTCTCCTTCCATTGTGCAGAGTTGCAAATCAGGAGGGGGGGGGCGTTAGCGGAGCATGCAGGGCCGTAATTGGCAATGCCCACTGTGAGGACAGCCCTTCACAGACATTTGAAATGAAAGAGAGAGAGAGAGAGAGAAGCCATCCAGGGCCAAGCTGGGGAGAGGGATTGCTTTATGGGCAGTTTTAGCTCCCTCAATTCCACACATGTGATCGGGAATTATTCCTGTGGGGCGTTTGCCTCCCCTCTTCTTTGAAAGAACTTAGAAAGATACAGCAGTGTGCACTAGCATGCTCCTAGCCCCACCGAGGCAGGGACGGCACCCGCAAGATAGAATCATAGCATAGAGTTGGAAGGGAGCTCCAGGGTCATCTAGTCCAACCCCCTGCACAATACAGGAAATTCACAAATACCTTCCCCCAACACCGCCAGTGACCACTGTTCCATGCCCAGAAGCTGAGGCCTTAGAATTCAAGGCTGCAAAGAAATCTGAATTGGCCACTACATGGCTCACAGGTTTAGGGTAAAGAAAGACTTAACAACGGAGCTCTTTAAATACACCCTAAGCATGCAGGGCTCTTTTTGTAGAAAAAGCCCAGCAGGAACTCATTAGCATAATAGGCCACACCCAACAGCAGAAACCCATTAACATATTAAGCCACATCGCTTACATCACAGCTCATTAGCATATTGGGCCACACCCCCATGTTACCACACTCATCTTTTGCTTCTTATTCTGTTTACTTCGTTTGTTGTCAAAACCCTGGGCTTTTTTTTGTAGCAGGAACCCTTTGCATGTTAGACCACACACCCCTAATGTAGCCAATCCTGATGAGTTTCTGCTGTTAGGTGTGGCCTATTATGCTAATGAGTTCCTGCTGGGCGTGGCCAACTCAGGAGCCAGCCGGAACGCCGTTCCTGTGCGTTCCTGCCCAAAAATAGCCCTGTAAGCATGTATATTGTTTCCTTTATAGGGTAGAAATTGGCGTTTGCAGGAAAACCCAGCTATGGATAGCATCAATTGGCTAATGTCCATGATGTCATAAAACCTGAGCCTTGGCTTGCTCCTGGCCAGCTACGTCATGGGAGGTGGGGTGACAAGCGTAAGTTATATCTGGTATCATCTCCTGGACCTGTAGGCTACGTCTGAGTTGAACCCCTGCGGCACACTGCTGGGGGTCAAGCTTGCAGTAGGCAGGGCATGAAAGGGTGGGGGGGATATCTTCATTAGGATGACTAACCGTCCCTGCTGTATAGAGGAGCAATTTAAAAAAGGAAACAATGAGCGAGAAGAGATACTCACCAAAATCACTAGTACAAACAGCCATCAGGATCTCGGAGTTGTTGCACGGCCGGCAGGTCCCTGCATCTCCCAAAGAGAAAGAAGGACAGCCACTTAACCATGGGGAACTCCCAGCACCCATTCAGAGGGTTATAATTTCAATTCCGCAAGGGCTGATTGGCTAGCAACGGTGCCGTCCGTCTAATAGTTCATGCAAGTCAATAGAGAGCCTTGTATGCACTCAAACGCTTGTATTGTCAACCAGACTCAGCGCGCGTACAGACGCTCCTTGTTCATAATTACACATTTCTGAAAGGAGTTATTTGCCTCCTGCTGCTGTATTCTTTTAAAGATCGTGTCCCACTCTGGCTTCTAAGTATGCGAGCAAACTGACTTTGAGCACTTCCCCCTTTTTTTAAAAAAAAATGTCTGCTTAATCGAATGTTCTGTCTCTGAATAGATCTGATTGTACATGGGTGTGTGTGTGTGTGAAGTCACTTCCAACTTATGACGACCCTATGAATTAATGTCCTCCCAAACGCCCTGTTAATCACAGTCTCGCTCAGGTCTTGCCAACTGAGAGCTGTGGCTTCCTTGAATGAATCAACCCATCTCGTGTTGGGTCTTTCTCTTTTCCTGCTGCCTTTGGCTTTTACCATCATTGTTGCCTTTTCCATTGGGACTTGTCTTCTCCTAATGTGACCAAAGTACGATAGCCTCGTTTTACTATTTGTTGGAATTGCAAATTGCTTACACTTCAGTCATTACAGAGTTAAATGTTGTTTGTTAGGAAACAGGATGTTACGTTACAGAAGCGGGAACGTTTGTGGGAGTTGTTTATCCTAATGAAGTGAAATGCTTTGATCTAGCATTAGTGTATTCACGCCACCTGTGCCCTCATACTGTCCAATGCCTTAGTGGGCACTTCCTTATTTCTAAGTAAAGGAGTCATTAATCTAGCCCCCAGCTCACTAAATATAGGATATTCCACAATCGTATGTTCAACTGTTTCAATTTCAGCATGTGAGCCTCTACATGTTCTATTTGAATATCGCACTTTTTTTTACATCTACCCTCCAAAACCGCCGATGGAAGGGCACGCTCTCTTGCCAGAGCGAAAGCTCTTCTGAGCTTTGGTATTGTCAAACGATAAAGGAAGGTGGACTTTGTGGCATTATGCCCCAATTGAAGTCCCTCCCCTCCCCCAAATCTGCCCTCCTCACGTAAAGGTAAAGGTTCCCTTGCTCGAAAGCCAGCTGAATCCGACTCTAGGGTTGCGGTGCTCATCTCTGTTTCAAAGCCGAAGAGCCAGCGCTGTCCGAAGGTGTTTCCGTGGTCATGTGGCCGGCATGACTAAACACCAAGGCGCATGGAACGCTGTTCCCTTCCCACCGAAGTGGTCCCTATTTATCTACTTGCGATTTCTTGGTTTCGAACTGCTAGGTGGGCAGGAGCTGGAACCAGAGACGGGAGCTCACTCGGTCATGCGGCACACTCGGGTCTCGAACTGCCGAACGACCGGCCTTCCACAGCCTGCATGTAATGTATTGAACTGATTACATGAATCACCTCATAGGACTCCCATGTTAAGCTTCGAGCCAGACCAAGGCTCCTCTGAGCGAACTTCCTATTGGTCGCTTCATAACAGCGACCAATCAGAACGATACCATTCCCTAGGAGGGAAAGACTCCCATTGGTCTTTATTCTAGCAATCTCATTGGTTGTTATTTGTAAATAGGCGTGGCTACATTAGCCCGGTTATGTTTAAAAGGAGCATAAGCTCCCACTGTCAGATTAGAGTCCATGCTCTTAACCACTACACCAAACCACTACACCAAACAGATCTGGGTTTAATGGACCCACATTGAGATACACAGAATCCCTGATGACTTGAACTGGACAACGGTTTTGTATGATGTTTGGGTAGGCAAGAAAGAGATTTTTGAGCATGGATTTGCCTTCCTTGGAGGAAAGGACAGACAAGGAATGTGACAGCTACAAGTCGAAGGCTACACAGGTTGCCAATCTCCAGATGGTGGCTGGAGATCTCACGCTATTACGACTGATCTCCAGGTGACAGAGATCAGTTCACCTGGAGAAAATGGCTGCTTTGGAGGGTGGACTCTATGGGATTATACACTGCCAAGCAAGGCTCCCTCTAAGCGGTGGAGCCTTGTGGGCAAAAATTCTACTTTGCGAGCGACTGGCATTAAAGTTGTGAGCCAGCGATTTGGCTGCTGCGTTAAAAAAAGACTGTGAGCTAGCTCACACTCACTCAGCTTAGAGGGAACACTGGTCGCCATAGCCTGGAGACCAGTTATAATTCCACGAGATCTCCAGGTCCCGCCTGGACGTTGGCATCCCTAACTGCTGGCGGTTTCCGTTAGAATTACAGCAGAATTACATCCACATCTGCCAACGCCACTTAGCATGTGTAAGAATCAAACTGCTTCCCCGTTCCTCTTTTCTTCTTCTTCTTATTTTGCCTTCTTCGTTGGCTATCCATGTCACCGGCCACTGTACGCGAACCAGGGACCAGTGTTCCCTCTAAGCCGAGTGAGTGTGAGCTAGCTCACAGTTTTTTAGCCTCCAGCTCACACAGTTTTGTCTCAGCTCAGGAAGGAGGGCTCCAGAGCAAACTAATTTATGCAGCGGCCAAACTGCTTGCTCCCAACTTTAACGCCAGTAGCTCACAAAGTAGAATTTTTGCTCACAAGACTCCGCAGCTTAGAGGGAGCATTGCCAGGGATCGTACCCGAAGCACAGCACCCAGAACAGCAGAGCTAACCCTAACCCGAACAGCAGAGCTATTCTGGCAGGGCGATTCCCCCTCTGACCTCTCTCCCCGCCGTGACCAAAGCGTGGCTGCGGCCTCCGTGTCAAGGTGGTACTGTCCCCGAGTCAGGGCAGAACCCTGTGTGCGGGGCTGAAATCCCAGTCGAGTCTGTGCCTGATCCAGGCTGTAGTGAACCCCACTCTGACCCACAACCTTGTCTGCCCATGGAGCCTGCACCGCTCCGCAGGTCCCAGCGTTCGCGGCAAATGCCGACTTATTTGAAGGACTATGAGTGTAAATACTGTTGGAATAACTGATGTACAAAGGGTGATTGTATGTATGTAAATAATAAACAATTGGGATGATGGCTTAACTTAGGGGGGAGGAATTGTAATGTATTGAACTGATTACATGAATCACCTCATAGGACTCCCATGTTAAGCTTCGAGCCAGACCAAGGCTCCTCTGAGCGAACTTCCTATTGGTCGCTTCATAACAGCGACCAATCAGAACGATACCATTCCCTAGGAGGGAAAGACTCCCATTGGTCTTTATTCTAGCAATCTCATTGGTTGATATTTGTAAATAGGCGTGGCTACATTAGCCCGGTTGTGTTTAAAAGGAGCATAAGCTCCCACTGTTTTCTGTTCTGGTTTCTTACTGAGTTGAGTGCTTGTTCGTTACTTCCAATAAAGCTGAATCACTTGCTGAATCACTCTAAGAGTCCTTTGTTAGCGCGATCTAACACTGCAGTTCAGCATCTTCACCAATTGAGCCACCGCAGCTCTCTCCCCTCCCCCAAATCTGCCCTCCTCAGGCTCCACCCCAAAAATCTCCACCTATTTCTCAATCTGGAGCTTACCCTGGGACACGTCAAGTTGGGGGGGAGGGAGACGTCTTCTTTTTCAGAAGAGGGCCCTCTTTTTTGAGACCTGTCCTTCGAATAAGCCCACTTTCTGCTTCTGTCCATTTAAATTGGCTTTGGGGGAGACAGTCCTGAGTAGTCCCAGAGTCCCCGGAGCTATCTGCAGTTGGGAAGGGTCCGCTCAAGCTCCCCAGCCTGTTTGGAATGAACTGGAGGAACCATAATAAGGGAGAGGAGGAGAGGGGCCTTTGCAAAGTCTCCTGAACAGACACTGCAGGTAGGGTTGCCACCTCTGGATTGGGAAATTCCTGGAGATTTTGGGGGTCGGGGCCTGGGAAAGGCAGGAGCGTTGCCGGCTCCATGTTCGGAAATACCCAGAGATTTGAGGGCAAAGCCGGGAAGCGTGGGATTTAGGGAGGAGAGGGACCTTGGTAGGGTATAATGCCACGCGGTCCGCCTTCCAAAGCAGCCATTTTCTCCCGGAGAAGCGGAATGAATGTTTTAAACAAACGATAAATAAACAAATAGGCGATTTTTGTAGTCTGAAGATCGGCTGTGATTCTGGGGGATCTCCTGCCCCCCAACCTGGAGACTGGCCACCATAAAGGGCAAGGTTCAAGGAAGCGAAGGACTTCAGCGGAGTATACTACCACCGAGTCCGGCCTTCAGAGCAGCCATTTTCTCCAGGGGAAGGGGTCGCCATCAATGCTTCCTCTAAGCTGTGGAGTCCTGTGAGCAAAAATTCTACTTTGTGAGCTCCTGGCATTAACGTTGTGAGTGAGCAATTTGGCTGCTGCATCAATTAGTTTGCTCTGGAGCCTCCTTCCTGAGCGGAGACAAGAATGTGTGAGCCGGAGGCTAAAAGACTGTGAGCTAGCTCACACTCACTCAGCTTAGTGAGAACACTGGTCGCCATAGCCTGGAGACCAGTTATAATTCCACGGGATCTCCAGGTCCCGACTGGACGTTGGCATCCCTAAGTGCTGGCGGTTTGTGTTTAAGTTACAGCAGTGCGGTACACATCCACATCTGCCAACGCCACTTAGCATGTGTAAGAATCAAACCGCTTCCCCGTTCCTCTTTTCTTCTTCTTCTTCTTCTTATTTTGCCTTCTTTGTTGGCTATCCGTGTCGCCGGCCACTGTACGCGAACTAGGGACCAGTGTTCCCTCTAAGCTGAGTTAGCGTGAGCCAGCTCACAGTTTTTTAGCCTCCAACTCACACATTTTTGTCTCAGCTCAGGAAGGAGGGCTCCAAAACAAACTAATTGGTGCAGTAGTCGGACAGCTCGCTCACAACTTTTAATGCCGGTAGCTCACAAAGTAGAATTTTTGCTCACAAGACTCCACAGCTTAGAGGGAGCATTGCCAGGGACCGTACCTGAAGCACAGCGCCCAGAACAGCAGAGCTAACCCTAACCCGAACAGCAGAGCTATTCTGGCAGGGCGATTCCCCCTCTGGCCTCTCTCCCCGCCGTGACCAAAGCGTGGCTGCGGCCTCCGTGTCAAGGTTTCTCAGGGCAAGGCCTTGTCAAAAGCCGTTCCCCGGCGGGTCCGAGGGCCCAGGTTGCTATGGCGACCCGCATCCCGGCCTTATCTTTGGTGCCGCTGAACTGCTGGGACGGAGACTCCCGCACACTGGACTTTTGTTAACTCAGAGATGAGGCCGATTAGATGTTCCTCCTCCGGCCTTGGGTTGCTGATAGCCCAGCACACTCCAGGCTCCGGTTACCCTGCCGTCTCCTCCGCATATCGGAGTCCTTGAAAAACCAGGCCGCTCCGATTGCTTTCAGCTTCAATCAGTGCGCCGGGAGGGCAGGGGTTGCGCCTTGCCAAAAGAAATGCCCCCAGAACACTGTAAAACGAAAGGTGGCCTTCCTTTGTGAATACTGTCTGGAAGACATCTGAATGGAGCCTCTTTGTGTTGGAGTTTTTAAGAAATTCAGCAGAGTTAAAATAAACAGCTTAGCAATGCCAGAGTTCAATAATCAGACCCAGAGTCCATGTGTGTTTAAAAATATAAAAGTTTACTACAATTCTACCATAGGGAAGGGTAAACTTGGGAGAAAATAACAGAGAGCTAAATCAGCTACATCCTCTCTAGACTAGAAGAACTGGAAGAAGATGGCCCTCCAACGTGCTTCTCCTCCAAGGCAAACAAAGAGCGGAAGAGGAGCAATAAATTCCAAAGTTACTAATACCTTGCTCCCAATCAGACTCTTAGAATAGGGATGCTTTCGCGGGCTAACAGACTTGAGCTAACATTGGCTAACACAAAGACAGGTGATTTCCTGTAACAACAGAACAGACATTTAACCCCATGCATACACATTGAGTGTTTTCAACATGCAAATACCCAACACTTTGCATGTGTCGTACACACTGCTTACGAAACACTTTGCACTCTGCCACTGGCTAACAGTCAGTTTAACTTCGTAGGTGCTCTTAACGCTTCCATGGTGCATATGTCAAGTGCCTTTGATGATTCTAATCACAGTGACTGGAATCAATCGTGAACATCTATTCAGATATTCACTTTGGTTCATGGCTTAAAGGCATTCTGGGTAAAATACCAAATGCTGACAGGCAGTGACTGACTGACCTTGCTTATAGTGGCCAGTTGTAACTGCGCATGCTCCTGATGTCAGTCTGCTTGCATTAGATGGAGAACACTGCATGATGTACTAATATTTGTTGCAATTAGATCCTTTTTAGAATCTCACAGAATGAAAAGAAGGCCTACTGTTCAGCTGAAGGAGGTATATTTTTGCCTGAGACAATCCAGCCTACAGGTTCGAGCCCAATCAGAATGGTGTGACGGATATGTGGCAAAGTTTGATGGAACCAATAATTGTGATTTTTTTTCTAACTGTCATAGGGGGTATAGGACCCTATGTCTCCCATTGTAACCTTAGGGAGAGCTGTGGGTACTCAAGGGTACAAAACCTTAAGAACATAAGAACATAAGAGACGCCAATGTTGGATCAGGCCAAAGGCCCATCCAGTCCAACACTCTGTGTCACACAGTGGCCAGAAATACCAGGTGCCATCAGGAGGTCCACCAGTGGGGCCAGGATGTTAGAAGCCCTCCCACTGTTGATCCCCCCAAGCACCAAGAAGACAGAGCATCACTTGCCCCAGAGCCCCTATCTATACCTTGTGGCTAATAGGCACTGATGGACCTCTGCTCCATATGCTTATCTAATTCCCTTTTGAAGCCGTCCATGCTTGTAGCCGCCACCACTTCCTGTGGCAGTGAATTCCATGTGTGAATCACTCTTTGGGTGAAGAAGGACTTCCTTTTATCCGTTCTAACCCGACCGCTCTGCAGTTTCATGGAGTGCCCACGAGCTCTTGTATTGTGAGAAAGGGAGAAAAGGACCTCTTTCTCTGCCTGCTCTTTCCCATGCATAATCTTATAAACCTCGATCATGTCACCCCTCAGTCGTCGTTTCTCCAAGCTAAAGAGCCCTAAGCGCTTTAATCTTTCCTCATAGGAAACCTTGTTGTGCCTATACTTTTCCTCCTTTATTAATAAAGTTTTAAAGTTTGGATTCTCCTCTACAAGACTGCCGTGTGCTTTCTCAAATTGGGCTGGGGGAGCACAACCTTTGACGGAGTTTCTGTCTTACAAATGCAAGACCCTCGTGTGGGAAACAGATGGATGAGGCCTGGCTAGAGGACGCCAAAGCGATGGCGAGCGGAAGGGCTGGAGAGAGGGTTGCCAGCTCAGGTCGGGAGATACCTGGATATTTGGGGGGTGGAGGCCGAGGAGGGCGGGGATTTGGACCCGAGTGGGGTACCATGCCACAGAGTCCGCCTTCCAAAGCAGCCATTTCATCCGGGGGAACTGATCTCTGTCACCTGATCAGTTCTAGAACATCTCCAGCTACCACCTGGAAACTGGCAACTCTAATTCAGAGGTTGACTGCCTTTGAAACTGACAGTCCCTTTAGTCACCATCAATGTTCCCTCTAAGCTATGGAGTCTTGTGAGCAAAAATTCTACTTCGTGAGTGACTGGCCTTAAAGCTGTGAGCGAGCGATTTGGCTGCTGCATAAATTAGTTTGCTCTGGAGCCCTTCTTCCTGAGCTTAGACAAATATGCACGAGCCGGAGGCTAAAAAACTGTGAGCTAGCTCACACTAACTCAGTTTAGAGGGAACACTGGTCACCACCATGGCTAGTAGCCACTGATGGACCTATCATAGAGACTGTCTTTAGTTTTAGTTTAGTCCCCAATCTACTGAAATGCTCTGATTCCATCTGTGACCCAAACACCCCTCTTCTTTTTATGTCATTTGCTGCTACCTTTGAATTTTACAAGAAGAAGACGAAGAAGAAGAAGACAAAGAAGAAGAAAATGAAGAAGAAGAAGAAGAAGAAGAAGAAGAAGAAGAAGAAGAAGAAGAAGAAGAAGAAGGATTGGATATATACCCCACCTTTCACTACCTCAAGGTGTCTTAGAGTGGCTTGCAATCGGTGTTCCCTCTAAGTTGAGTTAGTGTGAGCTAGCTCACAGTTCTTTAGCCTCCGGCTCACACATTTTTGTCTTAGCTCGGGAAGGATGGGGCTCCAGAGCAAACTGATTTATGCAGTAGCCAAATCGCTCGCTCACAACTTTCATGCCAGTAGCTCACAAAATGGAATTTTGGCTCACAAGACTCCACAGCTTAGAGGGAGCATTGCTTACTTTCCCTTCCCCTTCCCCTCCCCACACCCTGTGAGGGAGGTGGGGCTGAGAGAGCTCTCTCAAGAACTGTCCTTGACAGAACAGCTCTGAAAGAACTTGTGACTGACCCAGGGTCACGCCAGCAGCTGCATGTGGAGGAGTGGGGAATCAAACCCGGTTCTCCCAGGTTAGATTCCGTGCTCTTAACCACTACACCAAGCACGATTTTAATGCAATGCAATTTTGTTGTAATGAGCCTTTGACTCCGTTTGTTGTGGTCCGCCCTGAGCCCGCTTTGGGGACGGCGGAATAAAGATCCGAAAGACCAACCAATAAATAGTTGTCATAGCGGGAGATGTCCAGGTGCCACCTGAAATTTGGCGACCCTAGAGCTGAGAGTTGGCGTGCCAAACAAGTTCCCATCATGCACCACAACCGGACGACTTACCTTCCGTGCTGAGGTTGCCAGATGGCCAAGAGAACGGAGAGTTCCAGTCGCCCCTCAGCTCGTAGCGGAAGGCGGCGATCCGGCGGCTGATGTCCTGGTGCAGGGTGGACTGGAGGAACAGGGCCACTTTCTCCTTGGGCAGCCAGCTGAAACAGCGCACCTTGGGCTGCAGTGCCGCATCAGCCTCCGAGAGCAGGAGCTCCAAGATGCCGTCCCTCTCCAGGTATATCTGAGCCCCGCGGAAGCTGCTGGACGATTTGATGCAGGCCGTGACGCGCCGCGGGCTCTTCTCTTTGCCCATGGGGCCCGTGGAAAGGCGAGGAAAGAGACTCAGGCGCAAGGCCCCCGCGGGGTACAGCCACTCCAGCGATCCCTCCGCGCAGTGTAACGAGATCTGTTCCACGCTGCCTGATTCCTGGGACAGGCCACTGCAACAGAAGAACACAAGAAGAGCCATGCTGGATCACACCAGGGGTCCATCTAGTCCAGCATCCTGCCTCACACAGGGGCCAGCCAGTTCCTCTGGAGGGCCAACAACAGGGCAGAGAGGCCGAGGCCTTCCCCTGGTAAGAACGTTAGAAGAGCCCTGCTGGGTCAGACCAGTGAGGGTCCATCTAGTCCAGCATCCTGTTTCACACAGTGGCCAACCAGTTCCTCCGGAGGGCCAACATCAGGGCATAGTGACCAAGGCCTTCATAGGAACATCAGAGGAGCCCTGCTGGATCACACCAGGGGTCCATCTAGTCCAGCATCCTGTTTCACACAGTGGCCAGCCAGTTGCCCAGAATGGCCAGCAAACAGGGCACAGAGGCTGAGTGCCTCCTGATGGCACCTGGTATTTTTGGCCACTGTGTGACACAGAGTGTTGGACTGGATGTGCCATTGGCCTGATCCAACATTGGCTTCCCTTATGTTCTTATGTTAAGAGCAGAGGTCCATCAGTGGCTCTTAGCCACAAGGTATAGATAGGAACTCTTGGTCTGGGGCAAGTGATGCACTGTATTCTTGGTGCTTGGGGGGGGGCAACAGTGGGAGGGCTTCTAGTGTCCCGCCCCCACTGCTGGACCTCCTGATGGCACCTGGTATTTTTTGGCCACTGTGTGACAGTGTTGGACTGGATGGGGCATTGGCTTGATCCAACATTGGCGTCTCTTATGTTCTTATGTTCCTTTCCCTGGTCACTGGGATTTATAAAGCAACTGTCTTGGAAATCAATGGTCCCTTTAAGGCATCATGGCTTGTAGCCACTGATGGACCTATCAGAGTTAGTGTTTTTTAGTTTATTTATAGTTTTTAACACAGGGGAAGCCTTTCAGATGCACATCAAACTGCCTTATCCTGAATCAGACCCTCGGTCCATCAAAGTCAGTATCGTCTACTGAGACTGGCAGAGGTTCTCGGCAGAGGTCTTTCACGTCACCGATGGCCAGATCTTTTAACTGGAGATACCGGGGAATTGAACCCGGGACCTTCTGCATGCCAAGCAGAGGCTCTGCCACTGATCCACAGCCCCTCCCCGTAGCCATTGGGTTGCCAAGTAGGCGTTGCTACAAGAGTGGCCATTTAGGACAGCGCACAGTATGCAAGAATGGAACTTTTCAGGTCGTAAGACTCTGAGCTGCCTGTCATTTTTAAAAAGTTGGTAATCTTAGCAGAAAGGGTGTGTGTGGGGGGGGGACTCTACTTGGCATCATGGGCCATTGTGCCCCAAAGTCGTGTCTCTTTTCAAGTCTCAAGACTACTTCATGCCCAATCAAGTTTACTTCCGGGCAGGACAGCCACAGAGTGGGACACCTAGAGGGGCCAGGCGGGGACGAGCCACCCACTCCTGGCCACATTTGTGTCTCGACATGACCGCTTGCGTCTGCAGGACTGACTCCTCTTCCAAATTCCAAATTCCTGAACGGGAAGCCACCCTCCTCGCCACACAATGCGATCCAGATGGCCGAGGCTGACTCTTGCCCGTTTCACAGCACACTGACTCATCTCGTCTGCTGTATTCTGTCGAGGATCAAGAGCCCCACGCAACAGATGTGGCCCGCTTTGTTCCTTAAATCTTCCCAAAGAGCTCTCTGGAGGCCCCTCAGTAGCCAAGGCTTGGATGAATGAGTCCTGGGAGATTTCCCCCAGGTCACAGACTGGAGAGGTGCCCAGTGCAAGAATGTGCGCCCCTGCCCACAAACATAAATCCTCACATTCTTACAGTCCAAGTAGCTTTCCTCTATTCCCCCACGGAATAAAGGTCTTTTCAGCAGACTACTCGGCCTGAAGGTATTTTCAAGAAACACATCAGACTTTTAAGATCAAGGAAGGAAGGAGAAAAAGGTCACTCACAGGGTTAAAGGAACGAAACCCTTCCATATTAAAGGCGGCTTCTTTTTCTTTTGCATTTTGAAGCTTGCCGTTAACTTATCCATTCTGATGCATACACCAACCAGAAGTGGTTTGCGGACTGTCAGACAAAGACCTTTGGATTAAATGAAAATGGACATTCCAAAAATACCATCTGTGAGTCACCGGGGCTCTATCGTTTGGGGTAGTTTAAATAAGTAAAAAGCTCCAGTAAGCGATTGCTCAAGTCAGACGTAAACCTGATTCATTTTAGCAATGGGTTGCGAAACCAGGATTTGGCTTACAAGGCAGTCATTCAAATCTTTGTTGGCTTCGACCGATGCTAGTTCTCCTTCACCCCGGTTTCCTGCAGAAACCTGGCTGGTATCCCAGCCTGCATTGCGGTGAGGAGGGGTGAGATGAAGGGGAGAAATCCAAGATGTCCCAGTTTGTGTGTCAAAAAAGAACATAGTTTAAAACTAACCACGGTTAATAAGCCAACTTCAGACCATAGTTTGAGATGCTGGCTTGGCAAACTCCTAATTAATCATTGTAAGTAGAGTAGCCCTTGATTGGATGACCGTACTTATCACATGCTAAGTCACTCAGTTCTTACTTATACCCAGAATTAAACTTTGTTTGTCTTAAAAGGTGCCACTGGACTCCAACTTAGTTCCCACACCTGTTTGTTAACTCTTATCTTTATGCTAATTTGCTGCTATTCACAGGTCTTAACCAATGCTCCCTCTAAGCTGTGGAGTCTTGTGAGCAGAAATTCTACTTTGTGAGCTACTGGCATTAAAGTGGTGAGCCAGCGATTTGGATACTGCATAAATGTACTGCAGGTACTGCAAGGTGATAGAGTATGTTTATCGCAGTCAAAGACCATAATACAGCGAATAAGCAGGTACTGCATACTGCTCTGGAGCCATCCCTCCTGAGCTGAGACAAAAATGTGTGAGCCAGAGGCTAGAAAACTGTGAGCTAGCTCACACTAGCTCAGCTTAGAGGGAACACTGGTCTTAACTGCTTTAATCCAACCTTAGCTATACTGATTGCTCAGTTACTTATGCATCTTGACTCTAGTTAGCCCCTCCAGGTAATTAACCACCCCTATTTATATGTAATAGCTGAGTAATTCTTGTTTCAATGTATGCATTAAATGCACACAAAAACTGATGCCCGGAATTAAACTTTGTTGGTCTTAAAGGTGCCACTGGACTCAGACTTTGTTCTGTTGCTTCAGGCCAACACAGCTACCAACCTGAATGGCACTGGGGTTTAGTTTGTCATTCTACAAGGACGTTAAGGCATGTTGGCATCCCAAAAGCCAATTGTGGGAAACCTCACCGTTCAGAAAACCCACCCTGACCAACTGAAAGTCAATTTTCAGCTGGAATTAGCCTTCATCATCCATTTCTTGAAGTGAGTCAACAAAAATGCATGTTTTTTGGAGGGGTAACAAAGGTTCCATCATTTTGTAGAAGAAAACAGGAAATTTCTTGTCTCACAGCAAAGAAGAAGAAGAAGAAGAAGAGATTGGATTTATACCCTGCCCTTCACTACCCAAAGGTGTCTCAGAGCGGTTGACAAACTCCTTTCCCTCCCCCTCCCCACAACAGACACCCCATGAGGTAGGTGGGGCTGAGAGAGCTCTGACAGAAACTGCTCTTTTTCAAGGACAGCTCTTATCAGAACTACGGCTTGCCCAAGGCCATCCAGCCAGGTGCAAGTGGAGGAGTGGGGAATCAAACCCGGTTCTCCCAGATTAGAGTCCGCGCACTTAACCACTACACCAAACTGGCGAAGAAGAAGAAGAAGAAGAAGAAGAAGAAGAAGAAGAAGAAGAAGAAGAAGAAGAAGAAGAAGAAGAAGAAGAAGAAGACGAGGAAGAGGAGATTGGATTTATACCTCGCCCTTCACTACCCAAAGGCATCTCAGAGCGGCTTCCAATCTCCTTTCCCTTCCCCTCCCCACAACAGACACCCTGAGAGGTAGGTGGGGCTGAGAGAGCTTTCCAGAGAACTACCCTTGAGAGAACAGCTCTGAAAGAACTTGTGACTAACCC